CACAGGAAAAGAAGATGTGACTCGGGCCACTGCCTGGGACCTGTGCGGCTGACCAGCTGGGACCACAGCTGAACCCACTCGGGAGCCAGAACATAGTGGGGCTGGTCTCAGGAACCCAGCAACAGCACAGCCCACGGAGGAGGGAGAGGAGGAAACTGACTATAGGGGGCACTTCCTGTGTGCCAAAGGCTAACTGTGTGATCTTGCCCAGCCCTCAGAACCACACATAATCAGCATACCCACGTTCTGGGTCAAGGTTCAAGGTCACATGGCTGGTAGGTGAGAGGGGCCACATTGGAACCCAGGTCTTTGCATCAAGGGCCTTGCTTCACAGCCACCGCACAACCCCCTTCTAGTCCCAGGACGCCGCAAGCTGCTGAGGAATGTTTAGGATGAGGGCGCCGGGAACGGGAGACAGCAATGCCAGCCTCACAGGGACAAGGGCTGGTGTCCCCAAGCCCTCCAAGCCTCCAAGCCAATGCACACCCAGCCTCCTGCTGCAGGGGTGCCTTGTGTTCTGAGGACTTAGGGGAGGCTGCACCCCAGGCCAGGTGTGAGCAAGGGGACTCAGTGGCACGCACATCTCAGCTTCTCCTTCCGGGACAGCTCCACCTGTTCCTCGTCCATGGTGGTGTCGATGGGCCGGAAGTAGGACATGATGGTCAGGAAGTCCTCGAAATTGATCTCATCAGCCAGGCCACTGGATCCCTTACGCAGGTTCCTACGGGAGCAACAAGGAGGGTTTTGGAAATAAATGAAGAACCGGATCTTGTCCTCTTGCTACCATTAGCTCCGAAAACTCTGCTCTCAGGGCACAAACTGGACCCACGATGGCTGCTCTCGCCTTGAGTCTGTGCCCCAGAAACCTGCTTCGTGGAGGGGCTGGGGGCTCCAGAAGCTGAAAGCTCCGTCCCTGCCTCGCCCTCATGGAAGTCCCCCATCAGGGAGGTGGAAGAGAGACAGACCACTGCATGACTGTTGATTCAGGCGGGGACAGAGGGAAGCGTGGGTGTGTGATGGTGCACACAGGCGAGCATTTATGAGGAAACCAAGCAATCCAGTAACTCACCAAATACCTCTCCCGATCCTTTCCTTTAGCTCAGGGGTTGGCAAACCGCCCACGGGCCCAATCTGGCCTGTCATCTATTTTCATACAGCCCATGAACTAAGAAGACTTTCTGGGCCAGGCATGGTGGTTCACGCCTCTAATCCCAGCACTCTGGGAGGCCGGGGTGGGCAGATCACCTGATGTCAGGAGTTCGAGACCAGCCTGGCCAACATGGTGATCCCACGCCTCTACTGAAAATACAAAAATTAGCCGGGTGTGGTGGTGTGCACCTGTAGTCCCAGCTACGCAGGAGGCTGAGGCAGGAGAATGGCTTGAACTTGGGAGGTGGAGGTTGCAGTGAGCCGAGATCACACCACTGCACTCCAGCTTGGGTGACAGAGGGAGACCCTGTCTCAAAAAAAAAAAAAGACTTTTCACATTTTTATCTTAATTTTGTCAGAGTCAGGGTCTCACTCCATTGCCCAGGCTGGAGTTTGGTGGTGTGATCATAGCTCATGGCAGCCTCAAACTCCTGGGCTCAAGCAATCCTCCTGTCTTGGCCTCCCAAAGTGCTGGGACTATATGTGACAGCCATGTGCCTGGCCGGTTTTCACATTTTTAAATAGTTGAAAAAATGCTTGCCAAAAAAAAAAAAAAAAAAAAAAAAAAAAAAATTGAAAAAAAAAAAAAAAAAAAAAAGTCAAAAGAATAGTATTTCATGACGAGTGAAAATTACATGAAATTCAAATGTGAGTGTCCATAAATAAAATTTTATTGGCACACAGCCATGCCCATTCATTTATGCTTGTCTGCAGAGTTGAGTAGATGCAAGAGAGACTGCGTGGCCCGCAAAGCCTAAAATATTTACTCCTTGTCTTTTTACAGAAAAAGTTTGCCAACCTTTGCTCGCTCTCACTAGTTCAAAATTTTAGGATGGTGATTGACTGCAAGCATCACTAAGTAATCTGTTTATACCCAAATACAAAGTTTGCCAATGATTGAAAGTTTTGTGGTAAGTTAGGGCAGATTTGAGGCTGGCCGTATCAATGTGCTTTTTGGAGGAGGCAAGAAAGGGCTGGTGTTCCAGGGGACGGGGACACAGGGAGTTCATGCCCCATGCCGGGCACAGTGCCTGACACCCAGATGAGGGGCTCAGAAATGTGTGGTCCAGCTCGAGTCTTGGCAGTTGCTAAGAAAATAGCTTGGAGGCCAGGCGCAATGGCTCACGCCTGTAACCCCTACACTTTGGGAGGTTGAGGCAGGCCAATTGCTTGAGCTCTGGAGTTCAAGACCACCCTGGGCAACAGGGAGAAACCCTGTCTCTACAAAAAATACAAAAAAATTAGCTGGGTGCGGTGGTGCGCACCTGTAGTCCCAGCTACTTGGGGAGCTGAGGTGGGAGGATTGTTGGAGCCCAGGAGGCCAAGGCTGCAGTGAGCCAAGATCACGCCACTGCACTCCAGCCTGGGTGACTAAGTTTGAGATCTTGTCTCAAACAAAACAAAACAAACAGCCTGGAGACGACTCCAAACCCGAGCTCCTGACTCACTGTCCTCAAACCTTATCACTAACGGACTGCGACCGTGAGCGCCCGAGGCCGCTGGGGAGGCTGTCATACAGCTGGCAAGCTCAAGGTTCTGCCACAGCCCCTCACTGTGGCCCTTCGGAAGGGGCAGTACCTAGCTGGCCGGGGTGGCTAACAGTTAGTGGTTAGTGCTTGGATGTCACTTGGGTTCCACCCAGGGCATGACTGCTGACTGCACCTCCCCTGCAATTCTCTCTTTAGAGGTTCATCTACTACTCCTTTTCAGCACCCAGCAAATACACTGACACCCATACGACAGCCTCTGAGTGGCCCGGGAACTCCCTTTCTTTTTATTTTTCTCTTCCAGATTTTCCAGGGAGAGGTGGGGTCCCAAGTCTGGATGAGAGAAGGCAGCAACTGCCCATCTGCGGGATGAGATCCGTCCTTCCCTCAGGAAGGCCCATCTTTATGTGTTTTCACAGGTCTCCCTTCTTTCTTTTATCGGATGAAGCTCCCAACTGCTCCTGCCACAGGCTTTAATAACCTTGAAGTTCTCGCTGTGGGCGGCACAGACCAAATTTACAGAGCATAAAAATAGCCCCCGGACTTATCAGGCCGCTCTGAAAGCCCTTCCCACAGCGACTGGCTCACACGTCCTTCTCAAGTGGTTTAGGCTGCAGCAAGAGGGATTAAGATTAGCACGGGCGAAAATGTGACAGACCCCTGGGGAAGGCAGGGTGTGTGTCCTTCTCTGGGACGGTTGAGACCTGCTCTGCTTCAGCCTCAGGACCCAATTCAAGGAAGGAGGGTCCCTTCCCCTCCGAGTGCTCCCAGAGGTCTGCAGAGACCAACATTATGGTCTCCAAAGGCAATGAGAGCCAGCGCCAAGGAAACCCAGACAGAGCACCTGGAACCAGCCCCACCTGCTCTCCACTCCTTTTTCTAAATAAAAGGTTTGTTTTTTTTTTTTTAGAGATGCAATCTCACTATATTGCCCAGACTGGTCTTGAACCCTGGCCATATGCAATCCTACTGCCTCAGCCTCCTCAGCTGCTGGGATTACAGGCACGTGCCACCATACCCAGCGCTCTGCTCCCATTTCTAAAATGAGCACCAGGATGAAGATCAGTGGACAGAAAACAGGGGCTACATCTAAATCTGTGGCCCAGCATGAGGGCAGGCCATCTTCTCTCCTTTTGCAAAGATGCCACCTTAACTTTCTAATTCTCCTGTAAGGAATGGAGTGCCCCTGGAGGTGGGGATGGGCTCACAATACCCCTTCCCCAAGACCTGTTCCCAAAAAGTCTTAGGAACAAAGGCTGAGGCTGGTATTTCTTGAAAGGAAAATCCTGTTTCCAGCATCTCCTCTGAAATCCTCCTCCAGCTTCTTCTCAGCATTTACAGGATATGACGTGAAGCCCTTTTCCAACAGTTACAGGCTCCCAGCTGTAGCCCACGAAGTGTTCTGGGTGCAGGCCAGAGGAAACCCTTCTTAAAATCATCCCCTCCCTCGGTGACTTCTGGGCCAGCCTTAGTCACTGGCACCTCCCTTTCTCCACACCAGGTATCTCTAAAGAGCAGCTGGAGGCTGAGGTCCAGGGACCCACAAGGGAGGCTCTCACCGCCCCATACCTGGCCACCACCCTCCGCCTCTGGCTCGGCCTAGATCCCTGGCCATCTTTCCGTGGCAGCTCCACCAGGCAGGCACAACGACAGCTGCTCTCAGCTCCAGACCTGGAGTCTCCTGGTGCCCCCCACATCCCCACACCCAACCCACCCCCAGGTTCACACCTCTAGTCAGTCCCCTGGGAACCTTCCTTTTCTCTCCTGGCCCCTGCAGCTGCCTGGCCCAGCCCCCACCCTCCCGTGCACTCCAAGTGCAGCCGGAATGAGCTTTGCAAAATGCAAATCGGAGCCTGTCGCTCCCCTGCTCAGCACCCTCCTGGGGCCTCCCCCGTCCTCCTGGTAATCCCCAGTCCCACCTGGACTTCCAGGCCTGGAGAGTGGTCTCAACCACCCGCACCAGCGCAGACCTCACTGCCCCTTTCTGCCTAGCTCCCTCCTCAGGGTCCCCACAGGCCTGTCCCACCTGGAGTCCCCCTGAGATGTGAGATGTGGCCACTTGTTTCAACATCCACCTTCTGAACACTCCATATTCCCCAGTGACTGAGGTCCCTGTCCCCTACCTTCAGGGAGCGCCACTGGCGCCTGCGCCAGTCCTTCCATGACTCTGTCCTAAATCAGACCCTCAAAGGAGGAGGAGGCTACTGCCTCCATCTGCCTGTCCCTACGTCTGGCAGCGGCATGCCCAGTGCACCCCCTTGTCTTCTGAAAACCAGAGAGGCGTCCGCCCTGGCCCTTTCCCCACACCCTGTCTCCTGGAGCGCGGCTGTTGATGGAGAACAGCCTGGCAGGTACGCGAATTCCACCTCAAGAGCCCAAAACACAACTCCTGGGTCTGTCCAGGATCGTGAGGCCGACAGACCCGAGTTGGAATCCCAGTTCCTACAAGTGACAGCTGACAACCAAGTAACCTTGGGTCAAGTTTTTCTTTAAGGAATAAGAGCATACACTAAAATGCACAGGTCTTGTGTTTGGACAAACATATGCCCTTGTGAAATCCACCTCTCATCCACCCCAGAAGTTCCCTCTTCCAACTTTACAACTGGCCAGAGTTGCACCCAAGCCTTCTGAAAACAAGCCTCGCACAGACACACACTCCTACACGTGGACACATGCTCCCTCTCGCGTGCGCACGCGCACAAACACACACACGCATGCACAGGCGGCCCCTGGGCTCTGGTCTCCTGTACCATCTTCCTGTCAGTGCCTCCAACTCTAGGTCCCGTCAGGGGCCACGCCTCCCACCCTGACGCCTACTTTGGCTCATCTGGGGACTGGCCTAAGACGCACCGCCCACCTCTGAGTCCTTTCTCTGAGAGCCAGGATTTAAAGGGAGATGGTGCACCGGATTCCACTCTGTCTTTGCCACCGACTGTGCAACTTCACACTCTTCACAGTCACTTAAGCTCCACAGGCCCCTCCTCTTTGGCAAACATGGCAACTGGCCATGAAGACTCCTTTGGTACCAGGTCTCTCACCCCAACTCCTGATCCAACCCTTCCTCCTCATCTATAATCTCCCAGGTGGCTCAGAGCTGCCCCCTGTGCCCCAGATCCTCAGGGCAGCCCTGACCCAAGCCCGGGACCACGATTCACTCCTCCCTGGCCTCCACCTCCCATTCCCACCCTACAACTAACCAGCAGCCACAGCGACCTCTGCAAAGTGCAAACCTGGCTCACTCACCCCCCTACACCCTCACCTCAAAGTCCTTCAGCGCCCCCATCTCAGCTCCTGAAGACCCCTGTTGCTGGTCCACAGAGGCTGCCCGATGCAGCCTGCCCTCCCCACATCACACTGGCCTCTCTTGTGATCCAGCTAGGTCTGCCTCTCAGCTCCCCAAGCTCCCTGTGCCACAGGGCCTTTGCACACACAGTTCCCATCGCCTGGAACCTTCTCTCCCTGCTTTTCCGGTTTAACTCTTGGTCACTCTCTCACCAGGCCTTGCCCCATGGGCCACAGAGGAAGGCCCCTGCATCTCCAGGGGCAGCTGAAGGACCCCTCTCCTGGTGAGCAGCACCCCCAGTTTCCAGTGGGACTCAGGGAGGCTCAGCACCTTGCCCAGGGTCCCACATCCCTGGCAGAACCAGGGTGAGTGTTTCATCCCTGCACAGCTCAAAACCATCAGGGAAGCCCCATGGTCTCATCACCACACCACACCTGTTCCCGTCCTTCCTCTTTCTGCCCATCCTCCACTTCCCAACCATCTTTGCAGACGTGGGGACATTGGGGCAAATAGGCTGGCTGGCCTCAGTGTGGCTGCCACAGGCCCCAGCAGCATGGGGAGGGTACACCCACCCCTTCATCCCCCACAGAGTCCCAGACACCTCCAGGCTCCATCCCGCGCACCCAGGTCTTTTACCTTAAACAATACTGGACACTGGGGCATGAGCTCTGGCCTGTGCCTCAGCTCTGGGACACTGGCCAGGGTGCACACCTCTTTGTAAGCCACGGCGATGAACACATGAATAGCTAACCTCGCGCTTCACCACACATCCCCCCACTCCCCCTCACAGCAACCCTGCTAGGCAAGTGCTATGATTATCTCCACTTTATTTTATTTTGAGACAGAGTCTCATTCTGTTGCCCAGGCTAGAGTGCAGTGGTGTGATCTCGGCTCACTGCAACCTCCACCTCCCGAGTTCAAGGGATTCTCCTGCCTCAGCCTCCCGAGTAGCTCGGATTACAAGTGTACGCCGCCACACCTGGCTAATTTTTTGTATTTTTAGTAGAGACGGGGTTTCACCATGTTGACCTGGCTGGTCTTGAACTCCTGACCTCAAGTGATCTGCCGGCCTTGGCCTCCCACAGTGCTGGGATTACAGGTATGAGCTGCCACGCCCGGCCAATTATCTCCATTTTAGAGATGGTGAAACTGAGGTATCCTCCCAGACGGCCCCCCAAATCCCTGTGTCTCCTGGTAGTCACGTCCCTGTTATGTCCCATCAAGAGGGGGGTGACCTAGTGACTCACTTCTAACGAAGAGACAGAGCAGGAGGAATGGGGTGTCAGTTACAAAAAGATAGTGGGATGTCCCGCTGTTTCATTCAGACGGCTGGCTCTGGAGGAAGCAAGCTGCCATGCTGAGGGCAGCTCTGTGGAGGGCCCAGGAGATGCCTTCAGCCAGCAGCCAACCTGGAAACAGAGCCTCCCTGGTCGCGCCACGAGGTGAGGGACCCCAGTCCCAGCTAATGCCTTGGCTGAAGCTAATGAGTCTTTGAGACCCCCAGCTAATTTGCACCCAGGTTCCTTTCCTCACCCAAAGAAATGATGAGATAATAAAAAAAAAAAGAAAGAAAAACTGGAAAGTGTTTTTCTGAGATGGAGTCTCACTGACTCTCGCCCAGGCTGGACAGTGCAGTGGCACAATCTCAGCTCACTGCAACCTCTGTCTCCCGGGTTCAAGAGATTCTCCTGCCTCAGCCTCCTGAGTAGCTGGGATTACAGACGTGCACTACCACAACCAACTAATTTTTGTATTTTTAGTAGAGACAGGGTTTCACCATGTTGGCCGGCTAGTCTTGAACTCCTGACTTCAAGGGATCTGCCCACTTCGGCCTCCCAAAGTGCTGGGATTACAGGCGTGAGCCACTGCGTCCTGCTAATTCTTTTATTTTTAGTAGAAACAGGGTTTCACCATGTTGGCCAGGCTGGTCTTGAACTCCTGACCTCAGGTGATCTGCCCCCCTTGACCTCCCAAAGTGCTGGGATTAAAGGCATAAGCCACCATGCCCAGCCTTGAATTTTCTTTTTTAACAAGTCTTCCTCAACAGTTGTCTTAGAATGTTTCTAAGAGAATTATTCTTTTTTAATTGTTGTTTTCATTTTATTTTTTTTTTAGAAACAGGGCCTCACTCTGTTGCCCAGGCTGGAGAACAGTGGTGCAATCACAGCTCACTACAACCTCGAACTTCTGGCCTCAAGTATCCTCCCACCTCAGCCTCTCCAGTAGCAGAGACTATAGGTGTGCACTACCATGCCTGGCTATTGTTTTAATCTATGAAGTTTTGGGGTAATTTGTTACACAGCCAGAGATAACGAATACAGAGGCCCAGAGAACTTGAGTGAGCTGCCCAGTCGCCCAGCTATGAATCCAGAATGGTCCAACCCCCAACCTGTGCTTATAACCCCTACCCAGCTCAGTCCCCTCTTCTGGGCATCAGCTCAAAGGGCCATTCTGGGCAATGAGTACCACAAGATGTCACACAACACAGAGGTGCCTGCCACTGGGCTGGTTCAGGGGAAAACACCCACCTGTTGTCGAAGAAGGCACGAACAATTTTGGATCGGATGGGGTTGAGCTCCAGGTCCGGGACATTGTTGAAGTTCTCCTTGCTGGTTTCCAAGAAGAGATACCGGGAAGAGAGTAGGAAAAGACAGCAGATGTCAGCTGGCATTTTCATCCTGTATCAAGCTGTATTTTGGATCCCCAACAGGCCCCACGAGAATAGTTCAGAGTTAGGAGACAGAACTGGAATACGCTTCACTTACCTGCCCCTTCCTCTAACCTTTAGACTGGACAAAGGCAGGGAGGATTTGGAGGCTCAGATACTTTTCTTTTTTGAGATAGAGTCTCACTGTCACCCAGGCTGGAGTGCAGTGGTGCGATCATAGCTCGCTGCAGCCTCCATCTACTGAACTCAAGCAATCTTCTTGCATCAGCCTCCCAAGCAGCTAGGACCACAGGTGCACGCCACCATGCCTAGCTAATTTTTAAAATTTTTTGGAGAGACAAGGGGTTAACATGTTGCCCCAGCTGGTCTTGAACTCCTGGGTTCAAGTGATCCTCCTGCCTCAGCCTCCCAAAGTGCTGGGGTTACAGGTACGAGCCACTGGCCAGGCCTTGAGATACTTTTGAGAATCCAAGAGGTGGACTGGACATTCATCTCCAAAAAAATGCAGAGAGATGGGATTTGTGTCCATTCTGGGGATTCAGAGACTGCCCGAAACCTATCCTCAAATCCCCAGGGAAGTATTCAGAGCAGTGGGGTGCTGGCTTGGAGCTCTGGAAAACAGTCTGGCAGGTCCTCAAAGCTTAAACCTGGAGTTAACAGATGACCCAGCAATTCCACTCCTAGGGATATGCCCAAGAGAAACAAAAACCTGTGCATGAATTTCACAGCAGCATTCCCCACCCACAAAGCAGAAACAGCCCAAACGTCTGTCGACTCATAAATGGAGAAATAAAATGTAGTCCACACAATGGAGTTTGTTTGTTT